ATACTGACAACAAAAAAATTAAGCATTATAGCTCCTAATTTACAAATCAAGAAAAGGAGGCCAACTAAGGTAAAGTGACCCGACCAAGGCCATGTCGCTGGGAAAAGGGAAAGGTGGAAGCAGAACCCGGGGCCATCTGATTCTGAGACCAGTCCCTGTATTCTGGCCTCCCGTGGAAGCACATTTTAGTTCTGTTTCCCTCACCACCCTCTAATGGTGCTTGAATGTACATTTTGATGCTGTTTTTCAGATATTTCATGAATTGAGAGAAAGTATAAAAGCCTTTGAGACTCTGGCCTTTTAAATTCTAAACATTTTAAATACATTTCAGAGCAAAACAACATTCTAAATGGGTTGAGAGAACACAAAGCCTCAAAGAGCTCTTGGGTGCAGCCCCTGACTTCCCAGAGCTCAGCATTCTCAACTGTCAGATTTTAACACATACTTCTTTTGGTAATTGCTTAATTATTGTATCTGTCAAGAAAGAAAAAAGTCTTTCACAGCCATCAAACACTAATATAAAAATATCCTCCAATCCTGGATTTTGAAAAATCTTTCCCTGAGAGTTCAGCAAGGCAGCATCTCCGTGGTACCTAAGCATTCCCAGATTCCTAAAGATAAAACTAGATGGAAACCAAGGGCACTCAGGTGAAGGAGGAGCAAGTGGAAGAATTAGTCACCTTTATGGGGTTCCTCTCACTTAAAGATCTCAAAAATATTTTAAAATCTTTGCAAAATGGAAGCAGGTGTGTAACATGACCTGAGTCATATCATGCTAATAAAGTAATGTGGTGCAGTAGAAACAAGGTTTTAATGGTGAAACCCCATCTCTACTAAAAATACAAAAATCAGCCAGGTGTGGCAGTGTGTGCCTATAGTTTCAGCTACTGGGGGGCTGAGGTGGGAGGATCACTTGAACCCAGGAAGTGGAGGTTGCAGTGAGCTGAGATCACACCACTGCACTATAGCCTGGGTGAGACTCTGTCTCAAAAAAAAGAGAAAAGAAAAGAAATGAGGTTTTAGATTAGAAAAACCAGGGCTTTAAATTCAGCTCTGATGATCTTTCTGAAATTTAGTAGAAATTGCATACTTCTCTGAGGCAAAGTTTGGTTATTTGTTATATGAAAATATCTACCACATGGTTGTCGAGAGGATTACAGAAAACAACATCTTAGAAGCCCCCAATGTAGGGCTGGGCACCTACTGGGAGGGTGAGTCAAAAAGCTATACAGCTGATCCTTATTACTTGCAGATTCTACATTCATGAAGTCGCCTATGCGTATTTGCTAAAATGTGTCTGTAACTGGAAAATCAGTACTCAGGGTGCTTTTGTGGTCATTCCCAGGCATGTGAAAAGTGGTGGAAAACTGTAGACACTAACGTGTACATAGCATAAGCATGTTCTAGCTGAGTTGGAATAAGAGGACACTCTGGCCTTTTGTTTCAGCTCTTATCCTATAAACCAGTATCCCTCTTGCAGTCTGTGTAATGCCACATTTTTCCAAATTTTGTACTTATTGTTGGTGATTTTGCAGTTTAAAATGGCCCCAAGTGAAGTGCTGAAGCGCTGCCTAGTATTCTTAAGCCCAGGAAGGCTGTGATGTGCCTTATGGAAAACATTTGTTTGATAAGATTTGTTCAGACATGACTCATAGTGCTGTTGGCCATGGGCTGTCTTGTTCTAGCTGGGCCTTCAATGGATTAGATGGTGGCCACCCACATTGGTAAGGGAGATCTTTGCTAAGTCTACAGATTCAAATGCTAACCTGTTTTGGAAACACCTTCACAGATACACCCAGGAATGATGTTCTACCAGCCAGATGGGCAGCCCTTAGCCCAACTAAGTTGACACATAGAAGTAATCATCACATTCTGTGTTCATGACAACTTTCTAAATATAACTCTAGTGAATAATGAGAATCAACTGTATTTTATTTAGTTCCTGTATTAGATAGGTTCAATATTAGTGGATAAAACAAATTAATTAGAAAATCTTCATGACTTAACACAATGGGAGTTTATTTTTCACGTATGTAAAGTCTAATCAGGTGTTTGGCAGATGGTCTTACAGGTGAGTCAGGGACCTGGACTCCTTTCATCTTGTGGCTCTGCCAACACATAGGACCTTTGCTACCAGCCAATGAGTGGAGAAAGAGAAGAGTCACGGCAGAAGGTCTTTCTTAATCAGCCCAGAAGTAATAGCACATCACCTCTGCCTTTATTGCATTGACCAGAACTCAGTCTTGTGGTCACATATAACTGCAAGGGAGACTGGGAGATGTAACCTAGCCATGTGCTGAGGGATTACAGGAATACTCTGCCACAATTATCCTTAAAGTCTCTTTATACAGCTATTTTTTCTTAGGTAAATGACAAAACCCTTAGGTAAGTGGCATTTCAGTTTTTAAAGGTTATTCTTCCCCACCCTTTCCAATTTTTCACCAGGAGAAGCAGTTCTGTCTCCTGTCATGTGTCTTAGTTAGAAGATGAGATCCTTATATAATGAGCCCTCTCTATATTCTCTTGTGCTGTTAATACTTCAACCAACTCTTTAATCCTTGCTATAAAATTTTGTCTGAAAATATTTTTGCCACTGAATAAAAGATTATAAAACGAATAGATCCAGTGCCTCCTGTAAAAGAAAGTGTTAAAATACAAATATCTGATAATTTATGTTTGTTCCAACTAAATTGTGGGCTTCCATCCAAGTTGCCTTAGCATCAGCCTGTAAAATGCTGTGTTTGACTCTATGTCATTGTGTGTATTAGTTTAGCACACCATTATTTTAGTTTTAGTAATAAAATAACATTGATGTTACCTGAAAGAAACACCTACTACCCTCCTGAGATCTCTGCTCAATTTTACTATGGTTTTATGCTGTGGACTCTCATAAGTATTTTATTTTTTGGTCTTTCTGTTCTTGTTTTAATACCAAGGAAGGAAGCAGTAGGACAGTGATGATCAGGTTCCTTCTTTCGGGGAGCCTGAAATACTTTGTAAGAAAAATATAGTCATGTGCAACAGTCAGCTCTTGCACCTCCTTGGAACTCTTAGGAAAACTATCATGGACTCTTTCCCCAAAAAAGTTGCTCAGACACACATGTTTTACGCCATTTACAATTTTTATACAATTTTAGATTAACCCTGCTGGGAAAAAAGATGGCACCATATGATCCAGCAATTCCACTCTTGCATATATGCCGAAAAGAGTGAAAAGCAAGGTCATGAAGAGATATTTGTACATCAAGGTTCATAGCAGCATTTGTCACAACACCCCAAAGGTGAAAGCAAGCCAAGCACTCATCAATAGATGAATGGTTCAACTAAATGTGGCATATACATGCAATGGAATAATTCAGAATGAATTTCTCATCCATGCTACAACATGAATGCAGGTTGAAAACATTATGCTAAATGAAATAAGCCAGACTCCAATGGACAAATACCATACGGTTCCATGTATATGAGGTCCCTAGACTAGGCAAATTCATAGAGACAGAAAGTAGAACAGAGGGTACCGGGAGCTGAAGGGAGGAGACAATGGGGGGTTATTGTTTAATGGGTACAGAGTTTCTGTTTGAGATGATGAAAAAGTTCTGGAAATGGATAGTGGTGCTGGTTGCGTAGCATTGTTAATGCATTACATGCCACTGAATTGTATACTTAAAAGGGGTCAAAATGATACATTTGATGTTCTTGGACTTTAGAGCCTGTTAAGCCTTGGTTCCAATTCCAGGTCTGCTGGTTATAGTATAGGTGACTTTGAGCAAAAGATTTAATGTACCTGAATGTCCTTTTCTTTACCTATAAAAATGGGGATGCTAGGGCGTTGAAGTCCCGACCTTAGAAGATTATTGTGGAAATAAGTGTGATTAGTGTGTCACAGATATAAAAAGATAAAAAGAACTAACATATTAAGTGAGCAAAATTCAGTGGCCTATGCTACCAAGAAAGCATCACATTGTATAAATGCTTTTGGACTCTGTGGATTTAAGAATGTTAACATGAAATATTAAATGCCACTGGATTTTAAAGATAAAAAAACAGAGGGGTAGGCCTCGTTCTGGTCCTCCAGTGACTAAAGGAACAGCAGAAACACAAGATCACCCCTGCCCAAGAGTGTGATGTTTATTTCACTTTCTGCTTTGATTGTTTTTAGGTTCTCATAGAGGTTTTTTCAATTCTTATAAACTATGGGGGTTTTCTTTAATACAGATTTTAAGTCCTTGCAGTGTACCTTGCTATGAGTTCTTAGACACTCACCCACACATAGACACATGCATGCACACATACAAGCTCCACACATTTATCCGGAGATCAGACATCCTATATTAGCTATTTGAAACAGAATCATATTTGCAGAATCATGCCAAAACCCCCCCTGCATAGCAAATACCGGATGGACAGTCTATGCAGAAGAGAGGTGGCCCATCCTCATCAAGATGGCTGGGCAGAAACAATGACACAGGAACAGCAAGGAAAGTAAGAGCTAACAGGAGAGAAAGAGGCAGAAAAATGACTAACACCCTAAGCCTTGCTCGAGGCTGGCATCATGAGTTCATGTTGAGCCTGTGACATTTACAAAAGGTTACATTTCATTCTGTTTGCTTAGGAAAATGGGAGTCTATACAGAATGACTGAAAACGATAAAACTAAAAGTTTAATGCTAAAAAGGTAGAAGTCAGTTATCTGGAAAAATCATTATGGAATTAAGTATATATATATATATATATATATATATATATTCTATTTGTGTTGAGACTCAAATAGCTAAATTCTATCAGTTTTAATGCCTAATTGTCTCTAGAATCTGGCTGCTTTTGTCAATCTCCAGCACTTAGCACAAGGCTTGCCTCACAGTGGATACTCTGTGAATAAATGAATGAATGAACAGGTGAAAGAATCAAACTACCTATAATATGCATATGTCTGCAAGATACGCATTACCTGCATATGAGTAAAAAATCCAAGTTTAAAGCCATTGTTTTTCTTTCTTTCAGAGCAGAAGCCACTCTCTTGGGACCATTCATAAGCAGGAGACATCAACACTGTGACACATGCCAGTGCCACCGCCGCCACCACCTCCTCTGCCTCCACCTCCCCCTCCTCTGGGGGCTCCTCCTCCTCCCCTACCATCAGCACCTCTGGTAAGTCCTTTTTTTTTCTGATTGGTTTACCGTGGAGCTTAAATCACTTGAATAAATTTGAGCAGAAGGTTTTAAATGTTCAGAAGCAGCACTGCCTAGCTTCCCTGTGGCAGGTGGCAGGTAGCTGGATCTGGCAGTTTTAGAATCTGATTCCAAACAAGCCTGGCTCAGCCATTTCTCTCCCCCATTCTTCAGGAGCTTCCACCTCCACCTCATTGGTGTACTGATGACATTGGTGTACGTCATTTCCCTTCTCATTCCTGCTTCTTGGTACAGGCTTGAGAGTCTCTCTGAGTGACTTTCTGTCTCACTGGAAACCTCACACGAGGGGCCATGCCAAAGTGCACAGCTAGTGAGGCATTGCAAAGTCAAGTTCCAATGTGTAATTTGGATGGTGATAATAATAGCTTGAGCTTCGGTACCATAGTACTGGGCTATATATATATTTCCTATTACATTATATATTGTAATAGGAATTGCCTATTTCCTACTGTAATAGGAAATGCCACAATAAAATATAAAATTCTTACATGAAGTTTCCATATCTACACAAGACTAAATCAAGGCTATTTCAGTTTGTGTTGCTGAATGCTCTCTCCTGGTTTAATAGTTTGCTTTGGGTCTAGGAGGGGGCCACTGTGGGTGGTCATTTTGTTTTGGAACAGGTATTCTCAGCCTTGGCAACACTGACATTTGGGGTCAGATCATTTTTGTTGTTTGGGGCTGTCCTATGCATTGTAGGATGTTCAGAAACATCCCCGGCCTCTACCCACGAGATGCCAGTGGCACCCCCCAATTGTGGTAGTGGAAAAATGGCCCCATATATTGCCAGATGTCCCCATGTGGGGCAAAAATCACCACCTCACACACGCAGTTTCAGAAAAATGCTAGTGCTTAATGCTTATAGCAAACCTTTCCTCTAAAGAAAACCAGGAGCACTTCTCACATTTATTCTCCATTCCTCACACCACTTCAGTGAGGGGTGTCTCGCACCAGCTCCGCAGCTTCTGTTTTCAGTAGAATATAAATGAGATGATGATACGGCACACAGAGACAGGGCTGCTTAAGGATGGTGTGAGCCAAGTCAGCAGAAGCCAGGAACAGAACCTCCCTGCTATCCTCCCTTCTGGGTGCTGCCCTCCCTCAGATTCGCAGATGACATGACCCTGAGGAGTGCTGGCTATGAAGGGAGAGCCTGCGGCCCCAGCTGCAAGGCCATAGGCCCTGGTGAGGGTGAAAGTATGCCTGAGATGTCACCCCATGTGACATTAGCTTTGTACACAGACTCTATCTGAGGTGCTAAGGGTGTAGACCTGCCTGGAACTTGGCTCTTGCTCTGCAAGAGAGTGGAAAGAAAGCACATAGTATAAATTACATTTGAAAGTTTTCTACCAATATATGCAAAGAATAGAATAAGTATTGAAGTTTCACTGCCGAATTTGACCCAAAGTCAAGTTCAGGGTTATTGCCACAGAGTAATAAACAGTTTATAAATAAAGGAAACACACATTAAACTACCATATGGATCTTGTAAGCACTGAAGAAGTACAATTTAGAATAACTTCAAATACACGATATACCCATACATTTAGCCAGAATAAATAAACTGAAAAAAACCCATGTTATTGGAGGTTTAGAAGAATAATCCTTTTTAAACATTGCTGGTGACAGACAAATGTCTAGGACTCAGTAAATGTTGAACAGATCTTTCTGGAGTGTTCTCTGGGGGAAAACAGTAAATGTGTATGTATCATAGTTTTTCCCCTGATAATCAGGTAGTTTTATTTTTGAGACTGATTTAAGAATTTAACCCTAAAGATGCCAAGAAGAATCTATGCAAGGTTGTGCCCAGCAACGCTATTTATTATAGTGAAAAAAATGGATCTTAAATATTTCATGAGAACTAAATAAGATGTGTTATGTCATACCGTTAATTTAAAATTGCATTATGCAGTAGTGGCAATTAAAACTTACATCTGGTGGAGCATGGTGGTTCACACCTGTTAACCTAGCAGTTTGGGAGGTTGAGGTGGGTGGATCACCTGAGGTCCCAAGTTCAAGACCAGTCTGGCCAACATGGAGAACTCATCTCTATGAAAAAATACAAAAATTAGCTGGGCATGGTGGCAGGCACCTGTAATCCCAGCTGCTCGGGAAGCTGAGGCAGGGAGAATTGCTTGAACCTGAGAGGCAGAGGTTGCAGTGAGCTGAGATTGAGCCACTGCACTCCAGCCTGGGTGATACAGCAAGACTCCATCTCAAAAGAAAAAAAAAATTACTTCTATGCTGATATGTAGAAGTAGATATAAAATGATGGATTAGAAACAACACACATTTTGTGCATAATGAAATCAGCTACTTAATATATGCAATAAATAGCAAAGATCAGAAGAGAATTTAATAATTTTGACAATAACATTTAGTATTTCATTAGGGAATTCCTTTTCTTTAAAGATGCTTAAATGCATAATAAAAAATAATTTTACATTTGGTTAAATTTTTGAATTGTCTCCCTCATTTCTCTCTCTCTCTCTCTCTGAAGAACAAGTCAATTTAGGAGTAAAATTATTATGTAAATGTTAATATTTTCTTAAAACATATTTTCTATATTTATGTAGAAAAATAATATACTTACAATATATATTAAAGGCAAGTAATGCTTTTAGCAGATGAAGAGCTTTTACAGATTACTGTGGAAAGAATGAATACAAAGATGGGCATAGGATATGATTAGATGGAAGAAATACAAATATTTTAATCTCACTACAATTGAATAAGAACAAATTAAAATAATGAGAAACCATTTTACCATTTTTATCTATCGGTTTAGTGAGACACTTTTTAAATGTTGGCTGGAGTATTGGGAACTGGGCACTTATAACTCTTGGTAGCAAAACTTGGTGACATGCTCCAAGATACAACTTGTCAGTAGAGCGCAAACCCTTTAGAAAATGGACCTACTTTCACTTCAAGTAATTTTCTTGACATGGTTTCCCTTCAAGTAGTTTTTAAGTAACTAATTATGGACATATAGAAATATATAGCTATAGGAGATTAGTGAAAGCATTAATTATAATAACAACCAAAAAGAAAGAAACAAAAAACAACCCAAAATTTTTATACTAGGAGATTCAATAAATTATTATATATCCTCTAAGTGGTATATGGGGCCGCCATTAAAATCATGTCAGAATTTAAAAGAAGAAAGTGACAAATGTTGGCAAGGATGCAGAGTGATGGAAACTCTCATATACCACTGGTGGGAGTGTAAATTGTTATAAACCCTTTGGACAGGGTTTTGACATTTGACAGTACCTACCACAGTTAAATATGTGCATCCTAGGTAGATACCCAAGAGAAGTGTGTGCCCACATGACCCAAAAGACATGTTAAGAATGTTTGTAGCAGCATGAATGGCACAAAACTGGAAACAACCCCCCATGTCCATCAATGGTAGAATGGATTGATAAAATGTGTTACGGCCATGCTATACAGTACTATACAGCAGTGAAAACGAATCAACAAAGCATGCAACAAGGTGGAGGAATAGCCACCTGACAAAAGAATACATGCTGTATGATCCCATGTATATAACGCTCCAAAACAGAAAAAAAAAACTACGGTGTTTAGGAATGCAAGAAAAGCTGGTAAAACGATGAAGGATCACCATAAAATCAGGAGATGACACCCTTTGGGAGGAGAGTGGGGCACTCAGGATCAGGAAGGCCCTAGGGGCTTCTAGAGTGCTGGCAAGACTCTATTTCTTGACATCGGTGGCAATGACATACAGTATTGCCTTATAGAAATATGTTAAACTATACAAAATTATTTTATGTGCTTTTCTATCTGTGGTATTAAACAATTTAAAAGGTTAAAAGTGAAAAAAATACATCCCTATTAATTTGTATCTTCCAGTGTCATCATTGATTTAGACAAAGATCACCCATGAAAGCTAAAACCACTGAGTGAAAGGTTGTGAGGAAAAAATATGTTCTCAGGATCCCAAGTGTCACCCCTAGATTGCTTCTTATTACAAAAGGAAAAATGTCTCTTTAAAATGGATCAAACTTACTGTCACGTGTAATGGAATGACCTCCTATCACAAGCCTTTGCTAGATACAGGGAGGCGCACAGACCATCACCCTGTGGTAATCTGCCCAGAATGAATGACCTCATGAGCAAGCAATCAGACACATGCAGAATATGGGATGTTTTGCAGCAGAGGCTGGCAAACCAGGGCCCCTGGGCCACAGCCAGCTCACCACCTGTTTTTTTTATCATCCTTCAGCTAAAACTGGTTTTTACATTTTCAAATGGCTGGGGAAAAAATTAAAAGTAATATTTTGCAACACATGAAAATTATACGAAATTCACATTTTAATCCATAAATAGTGCTACACACTATGTGTGTAGCACAGCCACACTTATGCATTTACATTTTGTCTGTGACTGCTTTTATGCTACAGCAGCAGAACACCAATTAAGCAAAACGTTATTCCTCAAAGAAAGAATTCCATTCTTCTCGCTAGTAGGCTTGAATTTTAAAAATCTTACTCAATTATTATTACTATGTTTTCAGTTTTGTCAATAAATATTTTGTGGAAGTTTGTTTTCTCCTTTGTTATATAAGAATATACATTATACTCTAAACTTCTGCCTCTTGGCCCACAATGCCTAAAATATTCACTGCCTGGTCCCTTCCAGGAAAAGTTTGCCGACACCTGTCCCGCAGTCGGCTGGGCTCATTCAGCCTCCCATTCCCACTACCCACCACCCACGTGCACATCCTCTGCTTCTCCTGTCAGGAACTTCCGAGACCCTGCTGAGCTGTGGCCCACTACATCCTGCATGATCTGGCCCCTCCTGTGCCCCTGTCCTGGAGTCTCCTACTTAAGGCTTCTGCATAGCCACTGAGAGCCTAGAAAGGCTCTTCCTATTCATCCCAGCTTAAGGTGTCCCTTCCTCCTCCCCTACTGGCTTTCATATCTGCAAACCCCTGC